CCGAGGCCGGCGGCTCTGAGCCCCGCAGGCGGCGGGAGCTGGAGAAGAGCCGGTTTGTGTCTCCGGTAGGAGAGGCCCCGGAGGCCAGGTGCTGTTCAGCCAGGGCGGTGCCTAGACAGGGCCACGGAAAGACAGAGGGACAGTGCATCCACTGGCGCAGCAATAGGCCGGCCAGTGGCTGGATTTTCAGCAGGTAAGTGCCTTTGGGGCCTAAGAGACTTCCGGCCGGGTTTCTCTCAGCTTCGCCCGCATGAGGCAGCCCCGACCTTGGACGGACTCAACCTGCCTGGTTAAATGACCATACACGCCAAGGGCCCTGTGCCCTGTCGCTCAAGCCCTCTCTTCCCTCCTGCGCCCCATGACTGACAAGCCCACACAAAGGCTGAAACGGGTCTGCAGCTCGCACCCTGCCTGCCCTGCCCAGGCTGCAGAAAACCATCCTGTGATCCACTTCCTATACAGCAGACAAGGGGACCCCAAAAGGGAACAAACCCTTTCACAGGATTCCCAGGTCTCTTGGGATTGAATAATCTGTCACCTCTGGCCTGGCCTGCAGGACCGACGTGGGCGCAGGGCCAGGCCCCATGAGACCTATAGGCCCCCCCCCACACACACACACATTGCTTTACTTTCATTTAGAATGAGAAAAAAGTAAGAATTGTTAGGTCAGAGCAATGCTTTACTGCATAATATTAATATGTAAGTTTTTACACTAATGCCGTCATACAACAAGGCTTCAATGGGCTTCTTACACAGGAAGGGACCACGGAAGTCCTGACAGCTTGTGTGGTGCACCCCAGTCCTTCACCGGGGTCCCCCACTCGCCCTCATGTCTCAGCTGCAACGCCGTGTTCTGGGAGAGGCCTTCTTGGTTGGTTAACCAAACCTAAATTAAGTCTCTTCTTTTAAATTATCTGCTTCCTGTGGCCGTAACAAGGCAGCACAAGCCTCAGGAATTTACTGCCCCTCAGCCTGGAGAAGTCTGGGATCGAGGTGTGGGCAGGGCTGGCTCCTCCCGAGGCCTGGAGGGAGCATGTGTTCCGGCGTCTCCCTTAGCTTTTGGAGGTGGCCGACCAGCGTGGTGTCCCTCTCTGGGGCTTTGTCACTGCTGTTCTCACTTGCTGTCTCCGCGTGTCTCTCTGCACGTGGCAGGTCTCTGTTCTGGCTTCTCGTGTCGGGCACCAGCTGTGTGAGTTTGCTGGGGCTGCCGTAGGAGAGAAAAGATTGGGCAGCTCACAGCAACGTCCTCTCCCAGGTCTGGGGACAGAAGTCCAAGACGCAGGAGTAGCAGGGCAGCGCCCCCTCTGCAGGCTCTAGGGGGGGTTCTTCCTGCTCCCCCAGCTCCTTGGCTTGTAGGTGCATTGATCCCAGTGTCCTCCGTAGTCACTGGGCCTCTTCCTCTGTCGTATCTTCACGTGGCCTCCTTATAAGGACAGCAGTCACATTGGGTTAGGGTCCACCCGAAGCGGTATGGCCCCATCTCAGCCTGATGACATCTGCAAGGACCTTATTTCCAGATGGGGTCACCATCACAGGTTCTGGGGACACCTGAGTTGGGGACACTATCAGCCAGCACAGTCTCCCACTGCGGCCTGTCCTGGCTGCCCGGGGCAGCGCCTGCCACAGCTGGGAGCTCAGTGGATGGTCACCCTGTCTGAGGGACCCCGGACTCTATGGGGAACTGGACGTCCACTGTCTGTTTGCCAAGAGAGCTGCTTCTGGCACTAAGCGTGCAGCCAGGCTGGCTGGGCACTCAGTCCATTGTTTGGACAAGGATGTGGAGCTGGGAGCCCATGACAGCACAACCCCCCCACCCTGCATGCTGGAGCCCCTGGGGAGACCCTCCTTATAAAACCCGCGGACTCAGGTTCTCAGTTGCCCCTCCTCTGGAGTGTGGTGCGTCTGCCCTGATTGGCAGTGGTTCAGGTTGAAAGTTCCCTCTCACCTCGTAATTACGCATCCTGTGGACTTGGCCTCCCATGGTGTCTCATAGGCAAGCACATGTGTTAATGTCTGTGTTCGCATGTACACGTACAAAGGCCTAAATGGTTAAACATCTGAAACAAATACACTGGGCGAGAGGAAACCAAACCCTATTTTCTTTTAATTTCAGAGTTGTCTGTGGAAAGCTGACTTGAAAGACATCGAAATCGGATAGGTAATTAATTCACATGCACCTACAAGAGAAGAAAGAACGCACAAATTATTGGTAACATTTTGTAAGCACTGAAATTAATGTAGTGTGAATTTGTCATTTCTACCCGAAGTTACAGATTTTCTATATTATAATTTAATCTTTTTAATGTAAAAAGAATAGGAATTTTGCCCTTTCTGGCCTCTCGGGAAGCAAGAACCAGTGTATCTAATTATCTGAACACATAAGAACACGAACGAACAGCAAGCACTGAAATTATAAGCCGGCCGGAACAACTCCATGTTCTCTGATTAAACTCTCTTTCTGAGCCCTTAGCAATCATGTCGGCCCCGTGTTCGTCGTAATTGCATGTGTCAAAGCCGAGGCTTTGTGTAAATGGGACTGAACGAGTCACAATTTTAATTTAGAAGGGAGATAACGGTACGCAGCTCCCACAACGGCTGGCCTGGGGAATGTGGCAGGAGCCTGGAGGGCAGAGGCCCCGGGCGGCAGGTTAATGGCGCACAGGGGCCTCGTCAGGCCACATCGCAACTGTGGGATTTCTAAAACAGAGAAATGCAATTTACCAACCCGAAGTCAACCACCTGCTCTCTCCCTGATTACTCATGTAAAGGAGGCTGTCGAATTTTTTCATAGCTCAAGGGCAATGAATTTCAACAGTGGATACTCTGTTGATCATCGAGACGGCGACATGCTTCAATGAGATCTTTCTGATGTACTTGAATCTTAGAAACAAAACAAAATCCTGTTTTTTAACTTTTAAAACGCTCCCCAAAGCCAGGCAAGTAGCCACTTCTATTTTTCCCCCCTCAAGGCACCTCAGCGTTTTGGTTTTCCCAGCAAGTAAGTGATTTTTGTCTTTGAAGCGGCTTTTATGGAAAGCCATGCTCGACCNGACTTTAGGACTGTTTTGTGGGTGATGTTGGGGGTGGGGGCATATGAGACATTGCCAAGAGGTCAAAATGGAGCTAGTGGCCTGTGTGTGTATGGCGAGGGGCTAAGAATGGCTTTTGTTTTTCAAGGGTTGTGAAAACGAATAATCAAACAAATAAAAATGAGTATGTGACACAGACCTTTAGCTCCTGGGCATAGCAAACGCTCAGGGTCTCTGTTTTCCTGGCCCAGGAATTGCTGGCAGAGCTCCAGGTCTGTAAAATAAACTGACCACAGACAGATTCCCAGGAGAAAAAACAGAGACATTTATTTTTATTTATTTATTTATTTATTTATTTATTTATTTATTTATTTATTTATTTATTAGCTGAGCCATCCTGCCACCTGTTGGCAGCTCAGCGGCAGCTCAGCTCGGGCTGGGCATCGAAACTCTGTTGCCAGAGCTCAAACTCTTGAGCGAACTCTTAACCAACTGAGCCACTCGGCCGGCCCCCAGAGACATTTATTTGATGTTAGTTTTATGTGGTGGTGGTGGTGGTGGTGTGTGTGTGGGTGGGGTGGAGTGAGGGTGGGGTGGGGTGAGGTAGGCGGGGCCTCATAGAAAGAAAAGAAAAACCTCCCTGGGAAATGGCTGGGAGCTCAGGGTTTTATGCCATTTAGACAAAGGAGGAGGAATTTTAAGAGAAATGTTGGGAAGTAGTGAGAAGGCTAACAGGAGTCGAGGGCGTGGTCAGGTGTGTGTGTGTGACAGCGCTGGTCTCCCCTGCTTTGTACCGGGAGGGGGACCTTCACAGACACTGATAACCTGCTATCAGGCACAGAGCGGGTGGCAGACAGACCGTCTACGTCTGCTCTTCCCTGATTGCCTCCAGCTCAAAGCAACCCTTACTTAGACCAGGGCGGTGGCCGTGGCCTGCGATGGCCCCTGTCTCACAGCTAGGCAGGCCAGCACTTGCAGCCATGTCATCCCCTGGGCTGGCGAGCTTCAACTGCTTGTTCGCACGGGCGTGCTAGGCCCTCAGGGAGGATGCCAGGGCCCCAGCTTTTCCTGCAGGAGGACAGGAGTGTCCCCTAGCCGCCCCCGTCTGTGGTCTGCTGGGAACAGATACTGGTCTGGAGGGACAGGGCAGGACAGGAGTAGTTGGGTGGCATGCTGGGGGACTCTGAGCAGGGCACCCTTTCCTCTCTCCACAGCCGGGGACTGTGTGTGGCTGGAGGTCAGACCACCTGACCCAGCCTCCAGGTGAGGTGCTCTGCGGGGGCGTTGTGGAGGGAGTGAGCCTCAGGACAGGGCAGGGAGCCCCCACACTAGGCTGGCCTCTGAACCTTGCGCAGGCTCCCTGTGGTCAATGCAGGGTCCCAGGTCCATCCCTAAAAGTCCCATTTGGTCAGTGGAGCCCCAAGAGGCTGAGTTTTAACAAGGCCCAGGGCCCCTGCTGGGATGTATGGGGACCACCCTTGGAACAACAGAATTAGAAGGTAATGGGGACAAGGCCTGGTTCATCAGGGAGGGTCATCGTGGACTATGGGCTCCCCAACCTTTCCAAGCACGATGGCGGGGTCTTGCCACAAAAGGCAGGCTCTGTTTCTGCCGTTAGGACAGCTCAGGCACTTGACACGGAGCCCGTCTGAAGCCGGGCCTCAGACCCAGGCCCTGGCACCACAGTCAACACTTCCTCTAGTGGACAGCGTTCACATCCCAGCGTCCAGGCTCTCTCAGGAGGGAGAGGAGGTTGGGGACACAGGGTGGGGGGCACCCCAGCCGCATGTGGGTGTGGTGATCCCCAGGGGCTGGACACGGCTGCTGCCTTTCCCTGAAGCATCTGGTCAGTGCAGAGTGCAGGGGTCTTTGGTCATCCTCCCCTGGTCCAGGAAAGGCTGCTCCAAAGTAGATCCAAGGGGACAAGGGGACAGGGGCTGCCTCCTCCGGCTGTCCTGGCTCAGCCTCCGTCCCCCCACCACAGCCCATCCTCCAGGATTGGGGCACCTGCATTTTGGGGTGTGTGTGAGAGTGGGCAGCAGTGTGTGTACATGTCATGTGTGACTGCACGTATCTGAGTGTGCACAGGCTCATGTGTGCATGTGTGCAGTGCCTGTGTGTGCACATGTGCAAGCATGTGCGTGTACCTCTGGCATGTGTGGCCATGTCTGCACACATACGTGTGCGTGTGCACCTGTATGTTCACAGGTGTGTGCATCTGCAGGGTGTGTTGGAGCGGGGAGCACAGANGCTTTGTTGTGGAACACAGAATCTGAGCATGTTCTCAGCTGTTACTGGCCGTCGGAGTTTCTTCCTCTGAGGAGCGACTGTTTTCCTGTGGGACGTCTGTTCCGTGTGCTGACTTTCCGAGCTCTCTCCATGGGCTGTGCAGTCCATACGTTGTCCCAGGCTACACGCCTGCTGTCTTCTAACTCAGGAGTTTCCAGTGCTGATGCGGTCAGCTTTACCTGCTGTTCCGTGTGCTGTGTCTGGTTTAAGAAGGTCTGATTCCCGAAGATCACAAACCCTCCATCTTATACTTGCCTCTCATACATCTGTGGTGTTCTAAAGTTCAGCTCTTAAAGTACTTGGAGATCGTGTTTGGGATACAATTTTATGGTTTTCCCAAAACGGACAATCATTTCTCCAAACATAATTCAGTGAAAAAATTTTCTTTTCTGTGTGGACTTGGAGGCCACAGAAGCCATGTGATGGTTTGTTACACAGGTGTGTCTGCCCCACTGACTGTTGGGCTACGTCTAAGATGGCATGTCGCTGTTTCTTTGCTATAGTTTTATAATATTCCTTCATTCTAGGTGGGAAATACCCCCACATCTCCCCGCTTTTTGCTTTCGTGAAATATTTCTGGTTGCGTTTGTAGTTTATTCTTCTCTGTGCATTTTAAAGGCTTGATTCTGTAGGAATTTTCATTAGGATTACAGTGAACTTGTAGAGCTGACATTTTTACAAAACTGAGTACTTCCATTCTGAGTATTTCCATGGTGTCTCTCTCCAGTTATTTAACACTTTCTTCTGTCTTGGAACTTAATTTTTAGGTTGTGTTTCACTAATGCACAGAAAAAAAGTGCATACACGAACAGAGTGAAATTAAAGAGCGACTCGTGTTTTATGCACAGAGGCTGGAGGTGAGCGCAGTCAAAGGACTGCGACACGGCCCCTCCCTTCTGAGAGGATGGAAGCCATCCACTGTTACCGCTGCCTGCTGTCACTTGTCCTTGTGGTTTGGGGCTAGGAGGTCTTAGGTTCCTGCCGCACACCTGTTTCTTTTTCACTCCCAAGGCCTCCAGATGGCTGCTCCCACAGTGTCCAGAGACGCAGAGAAAGGGACGTGCATTTTAAGAAGCCATAATAAGTACATGCGAGCACTAGAAACACGGGACTTAGGAGCTAAGAGGAGAGCAGATTTTGAAGACCAGCTCTGCCTGTCGGTGGATTTCCTCCCGTCTCTGCAGCCTGGTGGTAGGTCCTCAGCCTTTGCAGAGGACAGCTCTGTCCTTTTGTCTTCCTTGCCTCCGATCCCCTTCCTGTGTTCTGGGGCTCATTGTGCAGGCGGTGCCCTGGAGACCAGGATGGCAGAGGCACGTCCTGGTGGGGCTGCTGCACCCCACTTCTCGGGACATCACCGTTCAAACTCCTGGGGTCAGTGGTCAGCAGAACTGAGTTCTGGTACAGGATGATGCCTGGACAGCCAGGAAGGCCCCAGCGGTGGCGGGGTCGGTCGGCTCACCAAACACCCCTCTCCCTCGCGAGCTGCTCTCGGCTGCATGGCTGGGCCCCCGCACCTGGGGGTCCTCAGGTCTTCGTACCCTGGGGCTTCTATTCCTTACAGGTGAGGGGAGACTTACCTCTAGCCTGTGCTCTGCTGTGTCTCCTGAAGACGAGGCCACATGCTCGCAGGCCGGGAAGCCCCTCCTGGAGGCTTCCACCACGAAGGGTCCTGCACCACTTGGGGCGTCACAGGCGTCAGGTCCCTCGGCCCACCACACCCCAGGAATTAGGTGCATGGCAGAATCCATTCCAGGGAGAGTGGCCAGGTCACTGGGGGACCCCAGGGTCCCATGGCCCAGGCGGGACTCCTACCCAAGCTGCTCCCAGGCTTGGGCCTCGGTTGGTTTCTGGCCTCCTGTCTCCCCTTGGTGCCTCCATGAACCCCCATCCCTAGCCTCCCTGAGAAACTGGAGACGCCCCGATGTCCTTTCTGTAGCTGCCGCACTTCTGGCCTGGGGCTTAGTGGTCTCTCTGCTGTTCACAGCAGGATGGGCTAGCACAGCTGTTCTGAAACCTTGCACACTTACCCGCCCCGTGGTGGGTGCCTGGCCATGGCCACATCCTGACCCCTGAACCTGTGAATGTGACCTTTCTCCTAATAGGAGGAATGTGATTAAGTTAAAGATCTGAGATGAGGCGATTATGGTGGATTAGCNTTATTCCATTTAGCTTTGTGGAAGAGGGAGTAAAAAAAAAAGGAATTTACCCTAGCTTCTAATTCGGTAATACTTCTATTTTAAATCTAAATGCCGTAACCTTGGCAGGCAGGGGGCTTTCAGCATGGACCGGCATTTCGGCTACTTGGGAAAAAGCAAACCTTATTCACACAAGTCAGAGTTTCATGAACGGCCGCCCCACTTTCCCGCCATGGCTGTGCTGTGGTGCTGACCCAACACGACACACAGATTCCTCTGTCCCCCGCTGGACGCCGGCCAGGCGTCCTTGGTCTGTGGAGCCAGATCACTCAGCTCTGGAAATCCCAGGGCAACAAAAAGCCTCTGTTCATTCACGAGGGGCTTTGAATGGAGCAGGTCCAGCCCCTGCCACCCCACAGGGGCCCAGGCACAGGTGGGGCTCTGGGACAGGGCTTGTTAGGCTACTCCGTGGGGAGGAGCGAAGGGCCGCCCTCGGCTCGGTGGGTGAATTTCTTGGGCGACGTCACACGTTCACTGG